TGTGTTGGTGTCATAAACTGAGGATAAGTCAATACAACAATTCATAAGCTCAGCTTATTTCAAGCTTAACGACGAACAGCATGACATTGATAGATGAATCTCATGAACTTCACAATTATCACGTCTTTGTTAAAACTAATAGTGAAAGATAAGGTGGTTTTATGTATCGAAGAACACTGAAATAGTTTGCAAAAAAAAGGTTTTTTTTAATTTTTTTATAAAAGACTCAAGTTTAACGATATTTATTGTTGAGTGAAAGGATTTTTGAATAAGTTTATTGAAAACTTTGAGTAAACAATAAATATTCGAATATTTATTCTGAAAAAGAGAATATTGACAAAGACGGATTCTTTTATGAACAAATCCATTCCGTTACGTTTCTTACCGGTTTTGAATTTTTTCTCCTACATGAATCTCATAATATAAATCTGTTTTATCATATGATTGTTGAAAGTGTTTCAAATCTTCTAGACTGAAACAAGACGAGAAGTTAATGAGCTCCTCTGTCTGTCAACTATCTTTCGGTATACAGCGTGCTACCTAACAGCAGATTCAATAGCCCAACATCTCACCAATAATAACTAATACTAGTAGTAGCTCTGGACAGTAGATCAACCCGATAAAAGCTTATTGTGCTTTTCATACACACAAACTAACCATCAGCGATGGAATCGGTTCGTATTCTTTTTTTTGAACGGAATCGAACCTATTTCTACTAACTACAACAGCAAGTGTATGTCACAACATATGCTACTATCGAACAGATAATTCGAGACAAACAGCCGCTATTATCCAAGGTCATTTCATGGCTGGTGGTATTAAGATTTGCACATAGTACCTTGAGGATACACATGTCAAACAAAGTTGTCATTCGGCCATGATGGCTAAGATATCCGACTTGAGAAAATTTTTCATTGACTTGCAAATAGGCATTTTCATAACAAAAAAATATATATATATTCTTGTAAATATTTATTTAGAAGAGATGCTGATGAACAATTAGTCTTAGCACATGTATGGAATAAATTAGCGAATGTCGCTCAAATTCTAACAATCCATTTATTCAAAGATGATTGGTTACATCGACAAACACATACATTCATGCAATCTCAAAGTGGTAATCCAGTTTTATCCACTAATCCGTCGAGTTATAATGGTTTTGTTGTTGTTACATAAAATTCTTTATTTTTTTTCTTTTTATTTAAAAAAAAACCAAAATAAATATATTTAAGAGAGACGAAAAAAGAAAAAAAAGTTGAATTAAACAGGTGATGGTGATGCATGTTGTCGCCAAAAATCTTCAACAACATCATGAATATTTCTATTTGCTTCACGCCATTCCCGTTGCCATTGTCGTAATTCTTGTACTTCAGGTTGTTTACGTACACGATAACCCCGATAATATGATTGAATTATTAAGGCAGCTTCTTCTTCACTCCATAAAAGTGATTTAGGTAATGGTGCACGTGGATATTTTTCAAAATGTATACGAACAAATGGAATATCTTCTAATAATTGATTTATATCAGATAATTGTTGATTTTGTTCATCAGATAAATTAATTCTATTTGGATTTTTATAATATAAATAACGTGTTAAATAATCGAGTGCATTAAATGCACTACGTTTACGTTCTAAACATTTACGTTTTTCAGCTTCAACTAATAATTGTTCAATACCTTTTAATAATATCGGATAAACATATTTTTCAAGATATTCAATTGTTGAAAGTTCTTTTGGACTTTTTTTCATTGGTGTTATTGGACGTTGAATACGGGGTGTTATTGTTTTTGTTAATTCTCTTTGAAAATTTTCTATTGGTGTTAATGCATAATTAATACAAGCTGGATGAGATATTCGTGTATCAATTTGAATTTGTGTTATGTCATCAATTGGTGCATATATATAAGAAGAATTACAAAAAACTGGTGAATGTTTTGATGGATCATATATTTGTTTATCTGCTAATGGTTGTTTTATTTCATTATTATCAGGATATTTTTTTTCATAATTAAGAAATGAACTTGATATAGCACCTGCTTCAGCTTGTGCACGTTTTATAGCAAATTCTGAACAAATTTCCTGCCATAAATTAGATTCTTTACCAACGGTTATGACTGGCATAATTAAGAAATATAAGTAAAGATAATCTAGAATAAGAAGAAAAAAAAAGAGATTTAAAGTAATTTTAATAAGCATTATATTTTATAATATAAATGAAATATTCGAATGAGACTTCATAAATGTAAATGAGGTAATTCCTCGTCATGTATATATATATTTTTTATATTCAAAATCTCAAGTGTCTTTTATATAGTATAAGACAACTGAATAAATTGAATATTTTATGAGACTAAATGCAGTTGTTTAAATATACTTCAAATCACGGAGCATTGAAAGGTAGGTCGACTATTGTCATTCATAATCATGTTTCAAATAGCTAACATCTCTACATGATATTTTCAACTAATAGAACTTCTATTACCTTTGTATTAAGAAATCTGAAGTTTAGAATCATATTTTTCTTTTGAAACTTAATCAGCTATTATTATATAGTAGGTCTGCTTCACAGTCCTCTCAATCATTTATCATAGGGAATGAAAAAGAATTCATTTAAGACTTAATATAGCTTGACAAAAAATAAGCTCTTGATAAAACTACCAATGAAACAATTTATATATATATATGTATACAGTAGGTATCAAAATTATTCAAAAAGGTTTATTTTCAACTTCTATTTCGATGTGATAAGCATTAGAAAGAATCCAAATAGTGATTTGATTATAGTAAAAAAAAATGTTTTCAAAAGGAATATACGAAAATAAAAATCATGATTAGATTTCCGAAAACAGAGACTCCGGAAAACCAAAAGGCTAGCTTTTCAGCACCTAGCATAGGTAAATATAATTTTGTTCAGACTTTGTAGAACGTTAGAACAATTTATTCTCCACAAAATAAAATGTCATCGAGTTCTCTACGACGTTCTTTTAGTTGAGATACAACAAGCTTTAGGAAGCCCCTGAAGCCGTTTCTTTTTCTAATTTCCTGTAAAAAAAAATAATTTTTTGACCTTCAATTAAATTGCTGCCAAAGAAAACCTAGCAGAGAACTCGGCACTATCTTATTTTTCTAGAACATAATTTTACTCTATCGTCGTATGTAGTCTAAACAAAATTATATTTATGAGCTCTAGATATTGAAAACCTAAACTTGTAGTTATGTATAATATAACTAAAAACTATTGATACTTTGTCTGAGTTCTTTTTTTGTTCATACATTCTTGAATAATATTTGTTAATAGGTCATTCTATGCATCGTCGACTGCATCTTCTAGTTCAAGTTGTAGTTTTTGAATTCTTTGTTAAAACTTTTATGCTTTAATAGAGAATACAACTAGAGTACTATGGGATAGTCTTGAATGTCGAAAAAAGTTTATTCCGTAGACCTGTAAATATCAATGATGAAATGACCTATTAACAAATATTATTCAAGAAAAACTTAGATGATGTATCAATACTTTATATCGCTGTATTAAATTATTAGCATCTATTTTTGTACTTCTCATGTATATCTACATAAATAAAATTTTTTCTGATCATAAACTCTATATTCTATATGAAAAATACGATTCGCAGGTCTTTTGTTGTTAGTAGAATGATATTTGTAAAACGATAATACAAAATTATCATAAAATTCATCAGGTAAATTAACTATAACGAGATAACACAGATGAATAAAGATCACAGCACCTATAACGGAACGGCTAGATGTAAAGTTCTTCGTTTGGCTTGTCAAGAAGTATTTCGAGATCAACAAAATCTATCCTTCAAAAAAATATCTCAATATAAAAAAATTCAAACAGCCATCTTGAAAGCAATCTCCATGCACTTGACCTTTTTTTGATCTTCAATATTGATAGATGTCGTCAATACATATTTCTTTTCACTATTAATTGATTCGTTGTTTCATATCCAATGTACATGAATAAAAGAAAGTCATTTAGTTTTATTTCATCACATTTTTTTTGTTCTTGTTCTTTTTCTGTTGATGTTTTTTTTCTTTCTATGATTATTTAGAACTGAATTTTTTTTCTTCGTTTTCATTTACTATCGTACGTATACATTTCGAGCATAGGTAAAGGTATCATCTAATGACTCTAGTTTGTCCTTGTTTATAAAAATAAATAATAGGTGAAAGTAAGCTTTTTTTTTGTATTACACCTACAGTATTGTTTTTCTTTTATCAATGCAACTGAATATCTATTTTTTACGGTCTGATCAATTAGCTTTTAGGTTAATACAGTAGGAGTCTAACTGTTATTGTCGTCAAATATAATAGCACTAAATTGATATTCAAGATTGCATAGAAAATTTTCTTCTTTTTCCTACTAGAAAGTATGCAGAGTCGTTCTCTTCATTTTTCTTTTCCGTTTTTTCCTTGTAACGGTTTCCTGAAGGCTGTAGACGAGAAAGAGAGAGCACATAAGAGAGAAAGGAACAAGGTTGTAGGCATGCATCAAAATCCCTTGGATAAATAATTAGGCGCAATGTCGCCGACGGCATCATCATCATTGTACTCTTATTATAGTTGTTGTTCTTAGCTTGTATGTATCATTTTGTTGTTTATGACTTCTATGAATGTTGATAAGATACAATTTCAAATTGAAATAGATCATTGTAGATAGTTATATCTGTTAAATTGTTTACAAATCTCGAATCTATCAAACATTGATCTGATTTCTTTTTTTTTTCTCTTATCTTTCATTTTCTTTCTTTTTTTGTCTACATAAGTCTGTGCATCAACATCCTTGACATTCGGATTAATCAAAGTACAGTAGTAGTATATAATAATAATAATAATAATAATAATCAAAGAAGGTCGTCTAATGTTTGCTATTTTCTTTTTTATAGATTTTTTTCGTATACTATATCTCTTTATTATTGAACATATATAGTTTTTTTTGTTCATTTTCAAAAAAAGAAATGTCTTAGAATAACAAGATGTATGCTTATATCGAATTATCGAATATAGCACGAACCGATTCTATCATTCAATCATTATCATGGATGCATTATTTGCCTACATTATCAGCATCATTAAATGTTTCTAATGATGAAAATAATACAAATCATAATGATAATGATAATGATGATGATAATAATCGATCAATTCCATCATCAACAACAACACCAACTCAACAATCAATTAATTTATATGATGGATGGTTAGCAACAGGTAATACAAATCATATTGTTAGTGTAACATATACATCAATAAGATCTGATGAAAATTTATCTATACCGGATCGTACAAATTTTAATTTACGTGCACATCGTACAGAAGTTCGTCTTGTTTCATGGAATGTACCATTTCAAAAATTAGCAACTGTTGATGAAAAAGGTGTTATTTTTGTATGGGTAAAACATGATAATCGATGGTCATTAGAATTAATTAACGATCGTAGTCATCCTGTTATTGATATGGCATGGTCACATGATGGACGTATGACTGTTATTTGTTATGAAGATGGTTTTGTTCTTGTGGGTTCTGTTACTGGACAACGTTATTGGTCAACAGTTGTTAATACAGCACAAGCTAAAATTTCGGCTGTGACATGGATGCCTGATGTTTCACAGTAAGAGAAAAAAGTTAAAAGAAACTAAGAAGAAGATTTTTTTTTGTTTTTGTTTTCAGTGTTATTCTTGGTACAACAGCAGGAAATTTAATATTAATGGATCATCATGGTAATACAACTGATGGTTTTCAATTATCAACACAATCAATAACACAATTACTTTATTCATGCAATAAATTCTATCCCGAAGCACCTGATAATAGTAAATTGAATATAAAAAATTCATATTTATAAGTCGATTATTTTTTGTATTCTGATTTTATAGATGCATTGAAATTTGTTAATGATGATTATGTTCTTGCTTGTAGTCTTGATAATGGTCATGTACTTTTTCTTAATAATTATCAAGATCAATCGCCAATATCTGTTGATACTGAACTTCGAAGTAAATAGAAGATTGAATATAAAAATTTTTCTTATTTCTATTTTAAATAGATATTAAAATGGATTGGTCATCATTTGGTGAAATTCTTGCTGTAGGAGGTCATACATGTTCAACTGATTCAATCTATAACAATCAAATTATATTTTATACTCGTCGTGGAGAATTTTTACATCGTATTCATATTCCACAGACGGTTTGTAATTTAATTATAGAATAGTTTATTCATATAAGTGTCATCAAGACAACACAATTAAAGTATAGGATATTCTAGTTAATGAATATTTTTGTAGACGGTGATTGATAGAAATGTGTTTGACAGATCATGCGCGAAGGGGAGAAATAACAATTAAAATGTTTATTATTCAAACACAATATAACATAATACTATTAACATATTTTTGCTTGTTCGTTATAGATAACATATAAAACGAACAGATGTTACCGAAATCTTCTTGTTCATAGTAAAATAAATTCGATCGTATTTTATAATACTAATCTTTAGAAATTTTACGGACAAAAATTTTCCAGTTTAATTAAAATCTCGGTCAATTAAGCATACCATAAAAAAATATCAGAGCTGAAAAAAAAACATGCTAATGAAGAATTCAAGACTTTTCTTCTTAGAAAATAGGCATAATTTACATTGAAGAGCGTTCGTAATTATCATAATTAGATATAGGCCAGATGGAAGTGAGATCAGGGCCAACACTTCATCATTAAGCACGATACCTTCTATAGTCGTATAAAACTTATGTCAAATGTCAAATGTCATATTGTCACGACTCATTTATCCTAAATAGATATGGGCAAGATGTTCTTATTCCTGTTCCATCATAGTACCTAGTATTATACGAAACTTTTATATATAGATTTAATAAAAGTTTGTTTTTCTTATCTAGACACAACCATTATCTGCTTTATGTTGGGCACATGGCAATGGTAAGAAAAAGAGATGACGACAAAAATAAATAAATAATTTCAATTCTATTTCTAGAACGAATATTTGCTGCATGTGGTTCATATGTTTATACAATATGGATAATACATAAATCTCTCCCATCTATGTTAACATTATGTCAGATGAAAATAAAAGAATATCTATTAAATAATTCTTTACAAAATCTTGATAAATTATTTTTACCAACTAATCTTAAACAAAATCTTCAAAATTTTTATCGTTCAACAATAAAAGGTTTTTTACCTGAACAAAAAACTTTACGTTCATTTGTATGTAATCCATTAAAATCTCATCTTCGTTTACAATGTACAATGAAACGTATTGATAATGAAACAGAAAATTCCACAACTATGCCAGCAACAACAAATTTATCTGGAGCAACTTATGTTTTATATTTAGAATATCTTGGTGGTCTTATACCATTGTTAACAGCTAAACGTATATCAAAAATTTGTCCAGATTTTATTATATTTGATCCACAAATGAAAACAAATCATTTATCATTATCATTATCATCATCAAAAATGTCTTCTCAAAAAATACATTTATCTTCAGTTCAATCACGTTCAAATACATTTCATAATATGTCAATTGTACAACAACAACAACAAATAAAATTATTAAATAATAATCGTTCAAGTTTAATTACAAATAGAAATTCAATATATGTTGTTGATAATAATATTAACAATAATGGTGATGATTTACTAACAAATCGAAGTAGTTCAGGTTGTAGTTCAGATAATGATTCTGAATTAGAAGAAGAACTCAAACAATATGATGATGTTAGAAATAATTTACATGAAAAATCTTCAAAAAAAACAACAATGAAAAAATTTCTTAAACATAAACATGTAAGATAAAACAGAAAAACAAAACTTCTTTTAACTATCATTCAACATTGACGTATTCATGTAACAGATTGTCATAATAGTTATGTATAGTCTAACATATGGTGAATGAAAACAACATTCTAGTTTCATTATTTTTTTTGATATTAAAAAACAAAAGTGTCTTCTACTATTTGAATTCGTTAATAGCATTTGCACTTCGAAGTAATACATTGTTTTAATTGATTAAGTTTAAAAAATTTATTATCAAAAAGTTAGATTTTCTTAATGAAAATCAACAAGAGAAAACTACGGTCTATTAATAATATTATTATCTATTATGTTTCTGTTATATTTGACATTATGATTGTAAAGAAAAACAAAAAATAACCTAAAATTAGATACTAATTGCTTAAACGCAAAATAATGTATACGTAGGTTTAATCTTGATTTCTCTGCTTATAAAATACCATAATCCAATTAGTCTCATTAGAATTCTGTCTCAATACAACGGTCAAGTTGTATTACTTCACTTTAGGTTACATTGAACAGTAATAATGTGTATCTTTGAAATATTTGTTTTCATCTGGATTGTTCGATCAGGACTAATAGCTTGTAAATCTCATCGCCACAATAGAAGATCTCACATCTTCTATTATGCACAAGCAGTCGAATTTTCTAAAGAGATTTTCTATTGTATTTCATGATTTTTAATTAAAACAAAATTTTCAAGTCAAAACTCTTTAAACTGAGCATATTTTGATATAAATATACTAATGGAAGTTTTGATTATGAGAGAAATATTATTCATCGAGATTATCTATATGACATTGAATAGCAATTGTTTTGTTCTTTCAATAGAGAATTACAGTTAGTATTTATCGGAGACGTAATTTTTTTTTCAATTTTTTTCTGGTTTTGATATATTTTCCTTTCGACTAACTTTCTATTACATCCGGCAGATTGTTACTTCAAACGGAATATTCAATTGTCGGGAGGATTTTATATTGAACGAAAAATTACTCAGACTTTCGGGAGTTTTTTATCAAATCTATATCATTATTTAGATGTAATGAAGCAATTAGAATTAGTTCTATTTATGATTATGAAACAATAAAATAGTATAGACTATTTAATAATAGAATCCCAAAAGACATAAGTTCAAAAAGTTCAACAATGTCTATACACATCCAATCAGTTATTCGTATCGTTTTTATTTCTCATATAGATTCTACTAATAATAATTTTTTTTCATTCCATTTATTATCAAATGTAACATTTTAATTGAAGTGAATAGTTAATAATTTTTGTTTTAAGATGAATATAAATATTTGTACACTTTTAAATTAAATCATTTTGTTTTTTGATTGTTAGAAAATAATAAAAAGAAAAAAAAAACAGTAGATTTTAAGACTTTAAAAGTCATATAATACTTTCTAAATTTATACAGAAAACTATAATTTATTTGGTTTTATTAAAATAATCAAATATTTGATATAGATAGTGGAAAGTGTTACATTATGATGAAGAAAAATTATCGGTTTTTAAGATTCATGAAGTTTGTATGTGTTTTATTTTTGTGTAGAATAACAAATTATGTACAATAGCGGCAAACATTTGGGGCACACGTTTTAAATTCTATGGACATTCAAATTGTTTACCAGAAATTTTAGGGAGTGTTACATATAAAACATCATTTTTACATTTACAACCACGACAAATGACTGTTACTGTTGCTAATAATTATAATACTCGAAAACAAAAACAATCTTCTAATGAAAGTAAAACTAAAAAATTAATTAAACCAATTATTCGTAAAGCAAAACAACAAATACGTAATAAAATTGATGAAGAAGATGACGATGAAACATTAACAGGTTAAATTTAAATTTATTTTGTTCTATTTAGTTTTTTTTATAAATATTTTCTTTTTTATTTATTTTCAGCTCTTTCATCATCAAAATTAAATATAGCTGCAAATATTCCAATAGCACCAATGTCTCCTCAATTACAAAATACACATTCATCTATACTTCGATCACAACAACAACAACAACAGCAACCTTCATTATTTATAAATGAATCAAAATATTCAAGTCAGGTTAAAAAATTTATACATACGTCATCAAATTTATCAGCACATCGTTCACAATGTACGTCAATGACTACAACTGCCATGACAAATCATTATCATCGTCATCCACAAACAAATGCTGATTCATCAACAGCTAATTCTTCATCAACATCACCAATTAATTTAAGTCGTTCAACATCACCAGCAGCATCAATAGCAAATTTTATTCGTCCTATATCACCGCCATGTATTCAAGTTAAAGAACCATTATCACCAAAATTTATTCGAACATGTTCGAGTACAATAACAAATAATTCAACACATTATCGTCATCGTTCACCACCAATAACTGTTCCATCAATAGCAAATAATATTGATGCATCAACAGCAAGTGCAACAACAACATTACTTATTGATGATTCATCCGGTTATGATAGTAGTGAAAATCAGAATAATCAAACAACTATGGCAGGTGGTATGATTGCTGTTCCTAGTGCTTCAATTATTTCAACTGTACCAGAAAGTTGTTTTGAACCAGAAACATATAGAAATTTATATTCATTTAATAGTAATCAACAAAAAAAATTAAGTTTAAGTGATCCAGCATTAAATCAAACAACAAAACTTTCATATAGTTGTCAACAACAACAAGCAACAACAACAACAACGACAACAACAGATAATTCATATTTATCTGCATCATCTTTACAAAAACAACTATCAAATGAAGATCATAATATTCAAACAGACAATGAAAGTGAAAAGCTAAATTCATATGAAGATAGTTCCCCAAAAGAAAAATTAAAAACTAACAGAAATACTTTCCGTAAAGTGAGTACAATCCTAAACAGTGATTGTGGGACCACAGGAAAAAGAAGTTTCTGAGATCTAGTCGAAGATCACAAGAGAAAGAGAGAGAAGTTGCCAGAATCGAAATTATGAAAAATAAATAACCTATGGTTTTAAGTGAATTATCTTATAAATCATGTCAATTAGAATATAATTCAAAAGAGATCACTCCAAAAAAAAAGCACTAGTCGTCGACTAAATAAATAAAAGAAAAAAAATGGTTATTAAAAAGTATTTTTTAGATTTGATACGAATAAATTCTCGAATAGTTTTCTTTTAATTGAGACTACAGAAACTGGATCTCACATGCTTCTAATCCTGAATGATCTAATGTTCGATAGTTATTAAAATAATTTAAATTTAAATTTTAGCGATATTCAAGTTCTCGACATCGGATGATGACATGTACAAGTGGAACAAATGATTCATTAACAAGATTATCACCGTCCTCAGACTTAGAACAATTAATAAATCCTGCGGATAATCAAAATGATCCATCATTTTATGTGATGCAAAATCGACCACCGTACGATTCCGAAAATTTTGTAAAATTCATTTTTGTTATTATATTGTTTTTTTTTTAGTTTATGGAACGAACAATCACAAGTATATCAATTAGATTTTGGTGGTCGTGTCACACTTGAATCGGCAAAAAATTTTCAAATTGAATTTAAAGGAAAACAGGTTATTTATCATCATTATAAAGATTTTATTCTAAATTAAAATTATTCAATTTAGGTTATTCAATTTGGTCGTATTGAAAATAATTGTTATACACTGGATTTTGAATGGCCATTTTCACCTTTACAAGCATTCGCTGTTGCTCTTGCGAATATAACTCAACGACTTAAATAAGCTCTTACATCTGTGGTTAATCATTAGTTTTATACAAAAATTTCTTGTTCTTTTTCTATGGTTCCGTTCGATGAATGATCGTATCGTTTACGTCTATTGCTGTTTTTTTTTGTCATAAAATTTTATCTGTGCATGTATTCGTCTTTGTTCTTTACTTTTTTTTTTCGTCTGTATCGTCCGTTATTTGCCAGTATATGTATATTTGAAAAAGAAAACAAAGAAAATAAGTTTAGAAAAGAAAAATAATATATCTTTATGGCAGACAGTATCGACGTAATTTGCAGATATAATATGATAGTACGTGTCGGTTATATTCTATTAATCATCTGTATATTTGTACAATGTGATCAGGATCAACCAGCTAAAACACATATTGGTAAGTTGAATGAGATGAATAAGGTATAGAATATTTATTTTTCTGGTTTAGCAATTGTTGGTGCTGGAATTGGAGGTATATCAACAGCTTATTGGTTGAAATATTATTTAAATGATTCTGTTGCAATAACGATTTATGAATCAGATCAAGTTTGTTCATCATCATTTTTTAGAAGTTCGTAGTTAATACAAAATATATCTAGGTTGGAGGTCGATTGAAAACTATAGATATTGATGGAAATGAATATGAAGCTGGCGGATCAATTATACATGATAAAAATTTATATATGAAACGATTTACTAAAGAATTTGGTAAGATCATTTTCTTGTTTTAGTTTAGAAAAACAACTTATAAAATTAAATATTTTCAATAAATTGTTGTTTTCTTACAAAAATAAATGGAATCAATAAGTTGACAATATGATGATATTCATTATAAAATAATATCATAAGTAATACATGCACCTATATTAGAGATGCGTAGTGTTGATAGAAATACTGACAAGTGAGTCACCGACGCAGGATTCATTGATTAGAAAGGAAGGAAGAATACCCCTGGCTGTCAGCTAACTTGCGGCATAGGGTGTTGCCTAATGGTAGATTCAATAAGCTGATATCTTCCCTACAACTATAGCTAGGTTAGGCCGGTCTAGCACGAAGTTCTTACGCTCTCCAGACGCACAAACTAACCACAAGGGGCGGGCATATGTTAAAACCTAGTCAGCATACAATCAAACAGATGATCTGAGACCAATAGCTCTTAGTTATTTGTCCAGGATCATCCTATCGCTAGTTATACTGTGATTTCCACGTAGTACATTATAGATACTGTCGAACAACGTAGCCAATTAGCCATGGCAGCCACTGATTAGAGATGTGCAGAGTTACTCTACCCAGTAGGGTAACGATAAGAAAATTTTTCTTAATTGCGGTACAATAGAAGCCTACACTGCACATGTGTAATCCTAATCACATCAACATCAGTCTTCAGTGAATGCCAATTCAGTGTAATCAGTATATTAGTTGACTCAATATCAATATTTCAGTATTTCCATCGAAATTGCACATTCCTAAATATGCTCATTTTGTAGCGATGTGTTCTAATGAACACTGGTAGCAGTGTGTACCAACTAAACTGATACCACACGTCCTCTAACTTATATGATTACAATGAAACAATTATAACTAATATAAATAAACAGAAGTTGATAGCAATAATAATACTTTTTTTCTTGCTATGCAACGAGATAATTGCCAAAACACACATTGATTTTTCGCATATTTAGGTTTAAAAAAACTTAATGTACCTAGTACATTGCCGTATATAATGACTAATGACGGTTCTCAAACATTATTTTCTACTTTATCTCGTTATATTCCAAATATATTTCTTATTCTATGGCGATATGGTTTTGATGCAGTGCATTTAAGATTTTGGCTTGATAAAAAATTATCAAATTTTGCTCGGTAAATTGTTTACCTTTTTTTTCTTTCGGGAAATGAATAAATATAAATTTTGTTTTAGTATATATGATTATCAAGAAAATGGCCAAACATTTAATACAGTTGAAGAATTTTTACAAATGCTTGATCAAGATTTTTATACAGCAACACGTGTTTCATTTCGAAAATATTTATTTGAAAAAGGTTTTCATAAAAAATTTATTAATGAAATTGCACAAATGGCAACTCTAGTTAATTATGATCAATCAGTTGACGCAATAAATGCTTTTCCTGGTAAGACCTTAAACAAAAACGAAAACTTATAATTTATTCTTATCACTTATATCAATGATAAGATTTCACGTATCAGTTATTAATCATTACTTTTTTCTTTAATTATGCATGATTCTTTTCATACCACTGATATTTCTACACATATCTATTTGATCAATGATATCATCTTCTAATAATTATCAACCTTCATGTCATTCATATGTGGCAATAACAATAATATTATTGTTTTTGGTTAATATGTTACCACGTTTGAGATGACAAGGACTTTATCAATGATTAGTGTCGGTTTTAATTGATTTATTATTAGACATATAGGTTAAAACAGGTCATGCGGGAACAAGTTTTTTTTTCGATTCTCGTAATGCTTTGTGAGTTCCTATTACGACTTCGTTTTTTTTATTTGAGAAAAACTATCATTATCAAACACTAGGTTTTCTTTACGTCGCACTTTATGCAATGTGAGTTGGCCTTACAAGAGCAATAACACCATATCACATCAGCTGTGCCAATCAAAAAAAAAACGAAAACATTCAACAGGAGAAAATAATAAAAATTCTAAATTCGAGATAATCTGAATATTAGTACTTTCGAAGGTATTAATCATAAAGAAAATAATAGTTATATTAATGAGATTACAATTTAATGAATGAACATGTCTAATTTTTGTTGGTCGAAATCTACTATTTTTCTTTTGATTAATAAACATTGCAAAAGTTGTTGGATGAATGTCGTAATCTATTTCTCAAAAATGTAATATTGGATTGAATTTGACTTGAAAGAGTAAAGATTCGAGAGAATATACATAAAACTAAACAAAACGATTTTTAGCAATGCCCATTTTTGGACATCGTTCCTGCAGGGATAGTACATGATCCTCTTCGCTTTGATTTTGATTCTTTTTCAGGACTATTTTCTCGAACAAGGTCTTTTTCCATAAATGCATGTAAAACGACGAACAAATCCTGAAATTCTAGAATAGACTCAAAGCCATAGATGGAATCTATAATGGGATTTTCAGCAAGATCGAACTTCAAAAAACTTTTTTTTTCAGAAATTGGCTGTGGTCCACCATAAAACTTTTTGTTTTGCTATCATGCAAAGTTTCTCAAGAAAGATTTTGTACCATTTAGAATTGATTTTTGAAGTTCTCGTTTAGTTACAAAAAATTAAAAACTTAAGCATGTTGAGGAACAACTTTCCATAGAGATTTTGTAGCCAGATGTATCATCTACGAAATGAACCATTTAATTTTCAAAAATACTGTTTGAAATTGCAGGATTTGTCAATAGAAATGCACTCAGTGAAAACCTTTGTCCTTTTTTGTATTGCATCGCTAACGCTGATTTTTTAATGATAACTCAGCGGAGCCAAATTCTATAGGACGGAGTTATTCAGAGTGCCTAGAGTAGGTTCAAGTACATGTTTCATAAAAATTATCTAAAAGAAATGCTGTCCGAACCTAGAGATATAAGCGTTTTGATTTAGCGAAATCATGCCGTTAACAAATGAAATTTATATAATTATTTTCGAATTATTGATCATGTATAATTGTTGATTAGAAATCGATATAATGTTAAATGATTTTAATATATTGTATAAAGGTTTTTTCATGAAAATGATGATAGTAAAAATGAGAAATTTGACTTTTTTTTGAAGTGAAGTTTATTGCTTCTATTAAGTTAAACATCTCACAGATGTTTCTAGGAAGGAAAAATACTCTGGTCTTTAAGTGGCCTTGAGGCATAGAATACTGTTTAGCGACAGATTTAATAATCTGATATCTTTTCTACAACTACCATTAATTATAGCTGTGGATAGAAGGTCGGTCTGACGCAAAGTTCTTGCGCTCCTTATACACACTGACTAATCATAAAGAATATGTGTATATCACAACGTAGTCAACATACTATAGAACGGATGATTCAAGACAAATAGTCGCTAGTGACTTGTTCAGCGTCATTCCATGGCTGGTAGTACTGAGGTATTAAAATTATAAAATTAATGTATTGTATGTTCAAATCTAAATCATATATCGAAATACTTTAATGAAGATGATTTTCCTGGCTTATCATAAATAGAATTGTCTAAAAGTTTACACCTATCGAATATTAAATTTCATTTACTTTTCGATTAATATATTCTTGAATAATCATCTCAACTAAGAACTCTTTATTATTTATTCATAGAAAACTAATGATCTGTAGATTTTGTTTTCTAATAAACTAAATTTTAGGGCTTGTATCACTAATGGCTACGGGTTCAATACTTTGGCATGTTGAAGGTGGTAATTATCTTGTTTCTAAAAAAATTCTTGAATATCTATTACAACAATCTGATGTTCAATTTGTCAAAGGACATGTTAAAAGTGTTACAGACGTTCATCGTATTGATATTGATGATCAAGGTGGTAATGTTCGTCTTTCTTATCAACCATCTAATAGTGAACTTGTACATGCTGTTGATTATGATAATGTTATTATAGCTTTTCCACTTCATCGTGATAATATAAATGATTTTGTTTTACAAGCAACCGATAATTTTAATCAATATGATTACCGTATGCAATCAACACATGCAAATTTTCTTCATGGAAAACTTAATTGTCAACAATTTAATTTAACACAAAATGAATGTCAAAGATTAAAGGCTATTTTTTATACAAATCCATCATTACCATATCGTGCTGTTGCTGAACAACACACTGTTAATGAAAATAAAGAACAATATAAAAACATTGACAAATCTGTATATAAAATATTTTCACCAAACGAACTTTCTTTATCAGATTATAAACAAATATTTGACAATGATAATTTCCAACTTATTCAAGATATACCATGGCTAGCTTATCCAAAATATGAACATCCACAAAAAATGCCACCTATACAAATAAATAAAAATATTTTTTATCTTAATGCAATGGAATGGAGTTCATCGTGTATAGAAATTGAAGTAATTAGTGCACGAAATATTGCTATGCTTCTTACGAAAAAACTCAGAGTTGAACTTAAACGAAATGATAAACATATTGAATTTTGATACCTGCTGTGTTTTTTAAACATTTATTCTTTTTTTTTCTACTTGAAATGAAGCTCAAAATGATTAATTGATTTTTTTGTAATTGTAGATAAAAGAGAAAATATAATGAATCCCGATGAGAAGAAAACTTTCGATAATACATCAAGTTCTTATTTATCATTAAAAGCTGAATTATTACGTAAAAAACAAGATATTCAACGAGCATCATCATCATCTATATCATCCACAGCTATACTTGATAATTTACAATCAACATCAAGTTCATTAAAACTTAAAACAAAACCAGATCTAGATATTGAAGTAGTTAGTCCATCAAAAAAGAAAAAGAAAACTGAAGAAATTAAACCTCCAACATCATCATCATCAACAACAACAACAACAACTTTATCTCGTGAAGATGAAATAGCTTATGCTAAATCACGTGCAATTCTGGAAGCAAAATCAAAATTATATGACGAAATAATGTCAAATAGTGAAATGAAACTATTAGCTGAAGATGATGGTGATGATGATAATGATAAATCATTTCTTGTTGATTTTGAACGAAAAATTTATGAAACAAATCAAAATAATAATAAAATTGAATATACAGATTCATTTGGACGTACACGTTTAGTTACATCAGATGAATATGAACAACTTAAAGCATCGGAAAAGAAGAAATCTTATGATAAAGTTCAATCAACTAAAACTGAAAATGAAATTGAGCGTGTTGAACGTTTACATCGTGAACAAATGCGTAGTAAATGGGAATCGGAAATGGAAGCATTAAGAAATAAAACACATTTACATTATCAAGATATATTATTTGATGAAAAACGTGAACATGGCGTTGGCTATTATAATTTTTCTACAGATGATAAACAACGTGCTGAACAAATGACAACATTAAATGAATTAAGAACAAATACAAAAATTGAACAAACAAAATTTATTCAAGAAAAAGAAAAACGACAATCAAATATGGCTGAACGTTTAAATAAAATACGATTAAGAAAAGCTAAAGAAATGGGTATTAATTTACCAGAAAATAATCTAAATAATAATCAAACGACATTAGAATGTACAGATAAATCACAACTACAATCAGATATTAAAGTAAATAATAAAATGTTCCTATGAATGCTCCAACACAATGTCAAAGATGACATTTTTTTTCTTTATTAAAACTGTACTTCCTGTAGATTATTTATATCAACCATGATCAGTTTTTTATGTTCAATCTGAAGCTACGATCGACAATCATAAATTTCAAAACAAAAATTTCCGAGTTAGTCGAAAATTCGCATTTTTTAGTTGTTTTTTGTACCAATTCCAATTGATTTTGAGATTTGGGCTTTGTATTAGACAAAACCTAACAATAGAATCGGAAAAAGCATTCAAAATTTAATACGATTAGCATGAAGAATTGCTTGGTGTTAGATAATTCTCAGTACTGAGCATGTATATGTTATGGAGCCGAGATAAATTTCTTGAATTTCTAATTCAAGTTTAGAATATTTCCAGTATTGAAAATGACCAGACTACTAGCGATTCTTCATGTTAGTCGTGTTGAGTGAAAAAAAAATGCGGAGTTTTGACCAATTTTGAAGCTATTGTTTTCTCTTTCATATATTTCTACTACAGCTTCGGAGAGAGCAAAAACAAAATGATCATCGTTGATATAGACAATCAACAGAAACTATAATTTAACTGAGGAAAAAATGTCATGTGTGGCATCATGTTCAAGAAATTGATGCATTCCTAAATGTTTCTGCATTTCTCTAATAAATAATTATATTTTCAAAGGAATTGCCTAAGTCTTCAATTAATACAAAAGAAGAAATCGTCGAACCAGTATCTCTTGAAAAGAATGAAGAAAAATCAAAAGAATTAAATCATCCAAACATCATACAATCAACAAAATCACAATTATCAGAACAGGTTTATCCTTTTAGCAAACTTTTAAGATTTAATCTTATCTTATATTTTTTTTCTAGACGTTGCAAACGGCTCATACTCAACATCAACAACCATCCTTTCAAAACAATAATCCAACATTACAAAACTCCAATGCATCTTTTGCTTATCCATTTCCTGTCTTACGAGCTAGTAACACTTCATCATCAACATCAAATAATCATAATTTACATTCATCTAATAAACATTGATTATTGTGATATATATATATATATATAATATTTTGTTTCATGGAAATAAATTCTGTTTTGTTGATAAAAAAAAAATAGTAAAAAATGAAAAACATCTTTTAGTAAATATCTCTTATAGGTGAGGCCATTCATAATATGAACTTAAACATTGTTTTTACAGGCTCAATCGCTTTTTGAACCTCTTTTAAATGAATAGATATACACTTTTTCTCCCTCTCTTCATCATTTCCAACTAATACATTAAAGCAATTGTTCATTGTTCGTTATAACTGTACAGATATAAAAAAGCAATACCATCATAACATCATCTTATATTAAATGAAAAAAATTCAATTAATTATTGATTGCAACGATAGTAATGTTTCATCACAACTTGAATTAGCTGAAAACTCAAGTTTTTCACATGGTTCTGTATCCAATATTTTAAAATGAAAGACAACAAAAAGAATATTTAAGTTCTTCTGGAACAAAACTAAAATCAATGTATTAAACGAAAATTCAAAAGTTTTGACGTAATAAAGCTTGACAAATTGTACAGCAACGTTCATTAAATTCACATATATCATGACGAAAACAATAATACAGAACTATTATATGACATTTTTCAAAGGTGAACACTTTGCAAAAGTCAAAACGATATTTGTTTAAGAGACGTTTTATTGTATTAATTGAAAAGAAATTAATTCGTACGAGACAAATCATAAATTTAAACTACCTCAATCCTTATTCAAATTAATACAACTGAATTGCAAAATTATAATAATAGAATTTTGCATATTGAAAGGACATAAAAAAGCATTTTGTTCGACATGTATGCATATAAAGCGTTGAATATTTATTCTTCTATATTGATATCAATAAAACCACTAGAGTCATAAAAATGGCGATGCCCTTGTACAAGACAAAATATCGGTGATTAATGACATGATTCGACGATAAAATAGCAATGTACGATAGACTCGGAACATTTTGCAACTATTAGCATCGATTAAAACTTTTTTTACATTTTCACAGTGTTTTATTTAATATATTCGATAAAGAGAAGGGGAAAAAACACAGAAATATTTTAAATGATAAAAATATGCTGTTCTATTTTTTTCCAGTTGCTGCATTCCATGCTTGATTCCATGCAGGCCATGTTGCAAGATCAGGACAATAACGTGGATGAAGGAGACGTTCACATTTTTCTTCATATCTATATGAAAATAAATAACACTTTAGTATATATATATGAAATTTCCTAATGCAATTTACTTTTTCTTGGCTTCTTTCATGTGACTTTTTTGATCACTGAACAATCGACGAGATTGATCAAGAAATTGGCTAGCATCATCTTCATTTTGAAGAAAATCCTGAATAGCTCGTTTTTCTTCTGAAAATTCAAATAAAAAATATAAGTGTAATCAACAAAAACAAATCAACATTTCTCCTACCACGTAAAGCATCATCCACATCGTCAGAACTATCATCACCACCTTCAGCACTATCGCTGTCATCAGTATGCCGATCATTTAATGTTAATCGTTCACATTGTGTCAATGTGAATAATAAACCAAAGAGCATCAATAAAACAGCAAGATATTTTGAATTCATTGTGTTTTTTTTGTTGATGTACCTATATAATATTCATAAGTAAATTTAATAGAACGCGGAGAATAAAAATATAACAGTTACCTATTCGATTATAAGATTGCGTTGAATATGTAAGGATCGAATACACTGTATCCATGTTTGATGCTCTAGCTTTTATATTTGAAAAAGTTTGTAATTTTTTCTCTTTTTCTCTCTCTCTCTTTTTCTCTCTATATCTTTTTTCTATATCTATGATACCGTCTCTTTTGATTGTGCATATAACGAAAAAAAATATAAGTGGTAGTTTTTAGAGATCAATACAGCCAGGTAATGCTGGTATCAGGTATGATTAACGGCTTTCTTCGTTCTTTCTTAAGACTTTACCTGCAGATGGAAGAATATTTATGTTAGATTTATTCTGTTCGAATGGCATCGCTGTAAAAAGAAATTTGGTTGAAAAAGGAGGTATATGTTATGCATGTATTTAGATTATTCTCGGCTTCGAAACGATATTGTATGAATAAGTCGAAGAATAAATATAGAACATTATTTTGATGATGAAAATTTGCTTAACAAATTTGTTGGTGATTAACTTTATTTTTATAGAGATTTATATGTTTCCTTTGTGAGTGAAAAAAAAGAAATTGTAGAATTTGTTCGAATTAAAGAACAAGAACAACAATTTGCATTTTACATACTTTCTTTTTTAGTCTTCAAAATATGTTCGTTAAAAAATAATTTCTCTTTGTTTCATATTCAATCGCTAAAAAACAAATTATTCTGTATGAACAAATTTTTCTTTTCAATGCTTTCTTTAAGATATTCTTGCAATTAATAACTAACATTCAATATAAAAATATGTGTTCATGAATACTTACAAGAAATTAAATAAACTTTTATGAAACCTTGATAGAATATATACATTAAAATTACTACATAATAAACGACTAGACCTCTAATAATGGTTCCTGCAATTGAGTATTATAAGTAAATTGTATTGAGGATTGAAACTAAAGTCTATTTATTTAAATTCGAAAAAGCCTTATAGAATTGTATGTATAAAAAAAGAAACATACTGATTATTAAGCGAAGAGCAGATCGTAAAATATGAAAATGCATGAGAACGATTAAATACATCAAAGATCGTAATGGTCTAACGCACGAAAAATATTTTCGATAACTAGAAATATTTCAATCAAGAACATACGAATGATATCAAAGGTTTGAACTAAATATTTGGTGTAATAACAAGACTCTGGTGATCTATGGCACGAAAGTCTTGACATAAAATATTCAGTCATTTTTTGTCATAGTTTGACAGTTCTAGCTCCGTTTCTAACATATGACGAGAAATCGACACCATTAAATCATCAGATAGATACGAAAATTTTAAATATATTCTGAAAAATTTTCACTATTGAATTATCGAGATTAAAGGCACCGCGGTATTTTAGTACTTCAGCAAAACAATGAAGATTTTTCGATATGGATTTAAGAATTTCTTTATCTCTCTGAGAACTTCACTGCTCTGGTTCCAAACGTTTTAAAAAACTTAGTTCCAGTTTTGTGGAAGTGTCGAGCCCTATTTTTCTACCATTTGAATACAACTTGTTAGAGTCAGAAGCAATTTGTTTGAATCAGACTCTTTTGCTCTCTCCGAATATGTGTTCAGAATTTTCTTCTGGCCTAAGATTGAATAACTTTGATCAAATTGTTTCAAAAGGTGCAAAATACTAGTTGTACAAAATTTTGATTAACAACGTATGTCGATTGAAACCTATAAAAATTCCAAAAGGCGGAACATTTTTTAAACGCTCAGTTTACTCTACAAAGCGTACTATTTATTCTTTTGGCAGGTTCTGAAACTTGTGTATTTTTAAAAGCAATGTTTGAAATAGGCATAACTTCAAGAATGTCGATTTTAATGGAAACTAGCTCTTCAGTTAAAACGGAAAGATAAGTTTTCGATTATTGTCATACCTCAGTTTTTACAGAATTTAGTGCTCCCAAATAATGTCGACTTGACGCTACTGTAATACACAAACCGAGGACTATGCCAAATTCACTGATAATTGTTTAATCTTTTGCCACAAGGAATATCGTGGCGGATTCTATCCGTCACCACTCTTTATGACCTTGTTCAAAAATATCGGTCACCTAAACGTACACATCTATTAATTATCTCTTTCTCTTCTAACATATATGTGTATTAGTTCTTATCTTTTCTCGTGTTGTCTATGCTGTGTTTGTCTTATCATTGCTTGTATCGCAGATATACACATTCATTCTTGATACAATAAAGTGGAAACGAGTGAGTCCTTCCATGACATCTATCGAATTTCGGTTGGGGTGGGGTGGTGTGTGTGGGTGTGGGTTGGGTGAGAGTGTGGGTGCGGGTGTGGATGGGTGTGGTGTGGGTGTGGGTGTGGCCTTGTTGGAGGGGTCGCTCTGAGTATGCACTGAATTGCCATAGCATCCATAAACGCACCAACACTCACAGCCTTACCCGCACACACACCCACACCCACACCCTAGCTCAGAAAAAAGAGTTGGTCCGCGCCAGTGCCTGGTTTTCAAAAACGCTTGCGTTCGTCTCCAGTTATGTGTTCTGTAACAGTTTTCAGGAAGCATCTCAGATGGAGAAAAGCGTCGAACAATTACAAATTCTTCCCACATGTAATGAATTTAATTGATAGTTTGTTCCATTTGTAAAGGTGCATGCGCTGAAGAGAGTCCATGAGACCACCACCCAACCTGGTCGCCGAAAATGTTTAAATCTTGAAATGAGCTATCGGGTCCGAAAGAGCGATAAAAGTTAGCCTTGGAGCCAAAATTTGAGACTCTTAGAATGAAGTCTTCTAGTGATTTGCTTATCCGACATTCTGAGACCGACTTCACATGTGCCAAACATCTTGATTTTAAAAACATTTCTTTCATGAAATTTTTTTAGTCGAAAATGTGATCAATACTACTACTATCTTATATCTTTATCAGTCTGGTTCTATAAATGTCCAGAATTACATCGAAATATCGTGCGGCTTTGACCTTGTTATGTTTTTCGAAATACGTTTGCGTTATATTTGCTAACAAGTCGAATGCTTTTCCATTTTTTTTTGTGTTTGCTGGTCTTTAATGGTGGTAATGGCGGGTGGTATAACTGCTGGTTTTGCAGTCGTAGTTGATGAAATTTCAATGCGTCTTGATGGAAGTGTCGACGAAGCTATAAAGAGAGTGAGACAAAAAAGTTTATAGTACTCAGATCAAAATTACATACACTTCCACTATGTTACTTATCTACCGGAAATAAAAAGTCAAACAAGAATCTTTAAAAACGTTTCTGACAGATTTTCAGGGTTTCTGAGCTGTCCACACAGACAACTATTATGAACGGAAGATACATTCAACTCGCTATTTCCACCCTCAGGCAAAACTATTTCCGTTTATAAATTTTATTGCCTTGCTCTTGAAGACTATCGCGACTCACACCTTTTTCAGGAAAGAATGAACATTAATAGAAAGAGAAAACCATATTTCATCATTCAAGAAAAAAGAGTTCAAAGTAAACTTTTCTGAGCAGTGATTGTCCAATTCCAGCTTATGAGTCTGGAATTGTGCTACTATTATCATAACTGTTTTGTTAATCGAGTTGGAAAATAATATTATCATTGTAACGACAAGCTCAAGACCTTATGAGAAGTAGTATGCCGCGAGATAGCGCTGATTCTTCAAAATACTTTTCGCAGCTCAAATGCTCTAAATTTTCGGATTTAAACAGCGAACGCTCTACCGTTTCTCTCTTACCACTATATACAGCGACAGGCTTTTCGTTTAAAGAAATGTGCTCCAATCGCATTAGACCATCCATACGTATAGGCTTCTGCTTTTGTTTACTTTCAATGCAAACACCATTGGCTACAGTACGAAATATCTGCGTAATATCTTTATTTGGCTTTGCTATGTGTTTCAATAGATGTTTGGCGAATAATCCATTTCTATCAGTAATATCACCATCAGAGGCAATTTGATTTGGACTACATGCAAAGGCGACATAGCTGCCATCCGGTACTTCCATTGCATGTAAACTAATACCTTCGAGCTTCGCTAAAATAACGATACGTGATACCTCTTATATGGCACAATGTTGACTAATTTTTTCTACCAACCTTTTCTTTGCTTTTTGTTTTTTGGATAGTGTACTCGACAACAATCCAGTATAAATACCGTCACAAAGGATGGGTTTTTTTGTCTTAATTGATGAAGAGTGCGTTCGACACAAGTACAATAATCCTCAACATCTTCATCAGATTTAATTAAATCATCATCTACGTGAGCCAAATATGTTCTGCCATTAATGTGATAGCCATGGCCAGAAAAGTAGAACATAACCAAATCACCATCAACGATTGTCTCAGAAAAAGCGGATATTGTAGAGACCATTTGTGACTTTGTAAGATCATGTGCCGTTTTTACCTGAAATTTAACATTTCGTAGCACGTTACTAAGATCATCAGCATCATTTATACAATGACGAAGTCTATCTTCAGATCGAATATAATTCTGGTTTCCGATAATTAATGCTATTTTACGGCGAGACCTTGAGGCAGTAGAATTCAGAGTAGACATGGGAATTTATTTTTTCTAAAAGAAAATAACTCAGTTAAAGCACACGACTGATAAGTATCGGACATTCAGGATACTTTAATAAATAGACTACAGATAGATTTTTAGTGTATTTTAACTTTGCATCTGTGTGATACACTTACATATTGTCTTGTTCCCTTAGGACGATCCTCAGCAGCATATTAACATGTGGCAAGTCTTTTTCCTGAAAACTCTTCGACTCATTCTCTGCAAATGGCACTTGTCGTTTTCAGCGGCACAATCAAACACATAATTTAGCACGAGCAACATTCAAAACCATATTATTCCATATACATGTTTCATGTCGGAATCAGTTTTTTCCTTCCAGTTTCACCATATTTCAGTCCATGAGCGTCGCGAAAAATAAAGTACTCTGAAGGATGGACGACTGGACTTTTTGAGTGTAAACAGTCGTGTTATTTATTCATGTATAGAAAACTGTTTGGCAAAGCTTCGTTATGCTTTTCATTATTTATAAGGAAATATTCTGCATATTTAATATTCTCCAAAACAGTTTTCTATACATGAATAATACTGATCGTTTACACTCAAAACGTCCAGTAGTCCATCCTTGAGAGTACTTTATTTTTCGCGATGCTCATGGACTGAGATATGATGAAGCTGGAAGGAAAACTGATTCCGACATTGAAACATGTAAACAGAATAATATGGTTTTGAACGTTGCTCGTGCTAAATGATGCGTTTGATTGTGCCGCTGAAAACTACAAGTGTCATTTGCAGAGAATTAGTCGAAGAGTTTTTCAGAAAGAAGGCTTACCATATACGTTCATATGCTACTGAGAAACATGCAAAATCCTAAGAGGCCCATTATTTTTGTCTGTCCAGTATAAGCATGATTTATAAGCAGCTACGTAAAGAACATGATATATTTTTTCACCTTAGGCAAACATTAGTTTTGACTCATGACACGAACTTTCGAAATGTTTTATTAATATTTCACAATACGTATTTTTGATGACGTTATTACGCTGAATAACAGATGAAATATGTTTTAATCCCCGTGAAGTTATTAGAATTTTCAACG